AAAGGAGTATATGCACTTTATGGTTGCACACGCTTATTTCCCGCATTCTGTTCCCTCTGCTACTATCAAGACACGCAGTTTTTGACGGAGCACAACCGCGCGCGACTGTCCCTGTTCCCTGTCACAGCCGCACCAAATTTTAGTGACCTTCATATAAGTTGAGTCGAAACACAAAACACAAGTCTCAAAGAAACACTTGTGTTTTTTATTGTATCCATGTTGTTTTGTTGCTACTGTCTAGGAAGCATCAGTGCTGTCTGTATGTTGAAGTTCGTTCCGAGGGTTCTATGTTTAGTAAGTTAAGAATTTTTGATAGTGGTCGTGTTTGTGTTGTCTGGAACCTGAGTAGGTGATTATTATGACAGCTGATTTGTGTTGGGAACAACGAGTTTTAGGTAATTTGCTGTAGTAGATCCCCAAGCACATGTACCACAGGTGAGGTAAGGATAGACATGAGAGAAGGTGAGGTAAGGATAGACATGCGAGAAGAGATATATCCTGGTTGTGAAAAAAGACAAAGGAAACTGGTTCTAGAAACTAAATTATTATAAACAGTAACTTCAGTCAAAAGTTCTGAATCAAGAAATATAAAAACATACTTTTCACAGTCGTTATAAAAATGTTTGTTTACACATTATATTAATACAAGTGTAGTACACTCCAGGTTAATACAAGTGTAGTACACTCCAGGTTAATACAAGTGTAGTACACTCCAGGTTAATACAACTGTAGTACACTCCAGGTTAATACAAGTGTAGTACACTCCAGGTTAATACAAGTGTAGTACACTCCAGATTAATACAAGTGTTGTACACTCCAGGTTAATACAAGTGTAGTACACTCTATATTAATATAAGTGTAGTACACTCCAGGTTAATACGAGTGTAGTACACTCCAGGTTAATACAAGTGTAGTACACTCCAGGTTAGTACAAGTGTAGTACACTCCAGGTTAATACGAGTGTAGAACACTCCAGGTTAATACGAGTGTAGTACACTCCAGGTTAATATAAGTGTAGTACACTCTATATTAATACAAGTGTAGTACACTCCAGGTTAATACGAGTGTAGTACACTCCAGGTTAATACAAGTGTAGTACACTCCAGGTTAATACAAGTGTAGTACACTCCAGGTTAATACAAGTGTTGTACACTCTACGTTAATATAAGTGAAGTACACTCCAGGTTAATACGAGTGTAGTACACTCCAGGTTAATACAAGTGTAGTACACTCTATATTAATACAAGTGTAGTACACTCCAGGTTAATACGAGTGTAGTACACTCCAGGTTAATACAAGTGTAGTACACTCCAGGTTAATACAAGTGTAGTACACTCCAGATTAATACAAGTGTAGTACACTCCAGGTTAATACAAGTGTTGTACACTCTATGTTAATATAAGTGTAGTACACTCCAGGTTAATACGAGTGTAGTACACTCCAGGTTAATACAAGTGTAGTACACTGCAGGTTAATACAAATGTAGTACACTCCAGGTTAATACAAGTGTAGTACACTCCAGGTTAATACAAGTGCAGTACACTCCATGTTAATACGAGTGTAGTACACTCCAGGTTAATACAAGTGTAGTACACTCCAGGTTAATATGAGTGTAGTACACTCCAGGTTAATACAAGTGTAGTACACTCTATATTAATATAAGTGTAGTACACTCCAGGTTAATACGAGTGTAGTACACTCCAGGTTAATACAAGTGTAGTACATTCCAGGTTAATACGAGGGTATTACACTCCAGGTTAATACAAGTGTAGGACATTCCAGGTTAATACGAGTGTAATACACTTAAGGTTGATACAAGTGTAGTACACTCCAGGTTAATACGAGTGTAGTACACTCTAGGTTAATACCAGTGTAGTACATTCCAGGTTAATACGAGTGTAGTACACTCTAGGTTAATACAAGTGTAGTACACTCCAGGTTAATACGAGTGTAGCACACTCCAGGTTAATACAAGTGTAATACACTTAAGGTTGATACAAGTGTAGTACACCCCAGGTTAATTCAAGTGAAATACACTCTCTATTAATATAAGTGTAGTACACTCCAGGTTAATACAAGTGTAGTACACTCCAGGTTAATACAAGTGTAATACACTTCAGGTTGATACACGAGTAGTACACTCCAGGTTAATACAAGTGTAGTACACTCCAGGTTAATACAAGTGTTGTACACTCCAGGTTAATACAAGTGTAGTGCATTCTATATTAATACAAGTGTAGTACACACCAGGTTAATACAACTGCAGTACACTTCAGGTTAATGCAAGTGTACTGCACTCGATATTTATACAAGTGTAGTACACTCCAAGTTAATACAAGTGTAGTATATTCCAGGTTAATACGAGTGTAGTACACTTTAGGTTAATACAAGTGTAGTACATTCCAGGTTAATACGAGTGTAGCACACTCTAGGTTAATACAAGTGTAGTACACTATAGGTTCATACAAGTGTAGTACACTCCAGGTTAATTCATGTGTAGTACACTATGTTAATACAAATGTAGTACACTCCGGCTTAATACAAGTGTAGTGTACTCTAGGTTAATACAAGTGTAGTACACTCCAGGTTATTACAAGTGTAGTCCACTCCAGGTTAATACAAGTGTAGTATACTCATTTTTAATACAAGTGTAGTACGCTCCACGTTAATACAAGTGTAGTACACTCCAGGTTAATACAAGTGTAGTATACTCATTTTTAATACAAGTGTAGTACACTCCAGGTTAATACAAGTGTAGTATACTCATTTTTAAAACAAGTGTAGTACGCTCCACGTTAATACAAGTGTAGTACACTCCGACATTATACAAGTATAGTATACTCTAGGTTAGTACAAGTGTAGTGCACTGTAGGTTAATACAAGTGTAGTACACTGTAGGTTAATACAAGTGTAGTACACTTCAGGTTAATACAAGTGTAGTGCACTGTAGGTTAATACAAGTGTAGTACACTGTAGGTTAATACAAGTGTAGTACACTCCATGTTAATACAAAAGTAGTACACTCCAGGTTAATTCAAGTGTAGTACACTCCAGGTTAATACAAGTGAAGTGCACTACAGGTTAATACAAGTGTAGTACACTACAGGTTAATACAAGTGTAGTACACTCCATATTAATTCAAGTGTAGTACACTCCAGGTTAATACAAGTGTAGTACACTCCAGGTTAATACAAGTGTTGTACACTCCAGGTTAATACAAGTGTAGTACACTACAGGTTAATACAAGTGTAGTACACTCCAGGTTAATACAAGTGTTGTACACTCCAGGTTAATACAAGTGTTGTACACTCCAGGTTAATACAAGTGTAGTACACTCCAGGTTAATACAAGTGTTGTACACTCCAGGTTAATACAAGTGTAGTACACTCCAGGTTAATACAAGTGTAGTACACTCTAAACATTGAAGGTTAGATACTTGTTACTACACAACTTCACAAACCAATGTTACTGGAGTGAAGGAGATTAAATTAAGCAATGACCTTCACTTTTGTACCCAGAAGGTTGATGCCTGATAACCTACGAGAAGTTGGCAACTCTCTCAGTCACTGGGGTTCTCCGCAGCTGTTTAGCTTGTTTGTCCTCTATCCTAGGAATCAAGCAGTCATACATACAGTCTCCAAATCTCTGAGAGCACCGCTAATGCCGTTCTCCATGAGCGTGCTTTCTATGACACACTTTGTCATTGTCAGGGGCCCGAGACTGTTCAACTGCCTCCCAGCATACATAAGGGGGATTACCAATAGACCCCTGGCAGTATTCAAGCTGGCACTGCACATGCACCTTAAGTCGGTACCTAACCAGCCGGGCTGTGGCTCGTACGTTGGATTGCGTGCAGCCAGCAGTAACAGGCTGGTTGATCAGGCTCTGATCCACCAGGAGGCCTGGTCACAGACCGGGCCGCGGGGGCGTTGACCCCCGGAAGTCTCTCCAGGTAAACTCCAGGTAGTATATATCCTTTACAGTATAATAATAAGATATTATCTCCAACATTGTATAATAATAAGGTATTAAAAGGACTCCAATGGAAATAAGTCACTTTGACTTTTTTAGGTTATCCTAAGTTCTCTACACATCTGCTGCTATGTATGATAATCTATGTAACTGTATTTGTGTATACCTAAATAAACTTACTTCCTGTTTCATGAGGATCGTTTAGACAGGTAGTGAAGACACTTGGTATACCTCGGTCTCGCACTACCCAGATAATAAACTGAATATCTGAACGCATCTATGAATGACACATCGTATTTGTTCTCTTTTTGTTTTTATGTTAAATATTCAATGCTAAATAAATCTATGAAAAAAAAAATAAAATATTAGAATGTTTTTCCCAATTTTTTTTTTACTCTATCCATCCTTCAGTAGTGTCATCTAGACTTTAAGGTCGAATACAAGACAAAGATAACACACTGGATCGTCACTAGTGTTCTCCTTCCTTGTGATAACTGATAACGTAGACGTTGCGGGAGTGTCAACCTATTTGTGGTTGCAGTGGTCGTGTCACAGCTCCTGGTCCCGCCAGAAGCCAGTGTGTGTGTGTGTGTGTGTGTGTGTGTGTGTGTGTGTGTGTGTGTGTGTGTGTGTGTGTGTGTGTGTGTGTGTGTGTGTGTGTAAGACAAGAAAACTGAAAAAAAGAATTATTTCATAATTATGAAACCAATAATTTTGAAGTAATAATAAGACGAAATAAGGTGTAGTAAGGCGAAAAGTAAACAAAATGAGAAAGGAATTCGATGAGTGCGAGATCCTGAAGCGAGAAATAAGGTGAAGAGAAAGATAAAAGTGAAGAGTGAATCAATAAAGTGATGAAACAACGAACTATATTTTCTTAAAGGAAAATAAAGCAAAGTTGTTTAAGGGAAAATAAAGCGAAGGAAAAGTCTAATAAAAAATTATTGAATGAACACAATAATTTAAAGTGGGGGTGGAGGAGGAGGAGGAAGAAGAGGAGGAAGAGGAAGAGGAAGATAAAGAGGAGGAAGAGGAAGAGGAGGAAGAATAGGAGGAGGTGGAGGACTTACCCTGGAGATGAGTTGTGGATGGTAGTTGAACATAGCGAAGAGCAGAGCGTTGCCCATGGAGTGACCAACAAAGCTGAGCTGACTCACGCCGCTCACCTTGAGAATGTAGCTAAGCATTGCTGGCATGTCGTAGAGAGCCATCTCGTTCCAGCTGTGTAAAAGAGAGAGAGAGAGAGAGAGAGAGAGAAGAAGAGAGAAGAGAGAGAGAGAGAGAGAGAGAGAGAGAGACAGACAGACAGACAGACAGACAGACAGAGAGAGAGAGAGAGAGAGAGAGAGAGACAGACAGACAGACAGACAGACAGACAGACAGACAGAGAGAGAGAGAGAGAGAGAGAGACAGACAGACAGACAGACAGACAGACAGAGAGAGAGGAGAGAGGACAGACAGAAGACAGACAGACAGACAGACGACAGAGAGAGAGAGAGAGAGAGAGAGAGAGAGAAGAGAGAGGAGAGAGGAGAAGAGAGAGAGAGAGAGAGAGAGAGAGAGAGAGAGAGAGAGAGAGAGAGAGAGAAATTCAATTATTTACAACTTATAAAGCTCTTTGTACTCTAAAAGGTATTACTGATCACTGTACCATAAAAACAAGATTAGCAAACGCTCGCCCTTGAGTTAACATTGTTTGGTACTATTAACATGACTGCAAGACGTGAATAACAAGTGAGAGACCTTGACAACTAGCAGCAGTTTTGTGGTGGACAATATTCCACTTGCTCCATCACCCATCCACTAGCCTAGGGGGACGGAGGGGAGGGAGAGTGTTACCGTTACACCTCTCTCTTCTTGTGAGAGACCAAATTTTAAACTTACATTACTTAATTTACGAGTCATTAATGACTTGTTCTACCTTTCATTCTATCACATCAAACTAGCACCTTCTATCTCATCAAACTAGCATCTTCTGTCTCAAAGGTAAAAGGACCCCAATGGAAATAAGTCAATCTGTCTGACTTTTTTGGGTTATCCTAGGTTCTCTACACATATGCTGCTATGTATGATAATTCTATGTAACTGTATTGTGTATACCTGAATAAATTTACTTACTTACTTACTTACTCATCAAGCTAGCCTCTTCTGTCTCATCAAGCTAGCATCTTCCGTCTCATCAAGCTAGCATCTTCTATCTCATCAGCTAGCATCTTCTATCTCATCTAGCTAGCATCTTCTATCTCATCAAACTAGCATCTTCTATCTCATCAAGCTAGCATCTTCTGTCTCATCAAGCTAGCATCTTCCATCTCATCAAGCTAGCATCTTCCGTCTCATCAAGCTAGCATCTTCTATCTCATCAGCTAGCATCTTCTATCTCATCTAGCTAGCATCTTCTATCTCATCAAACTAGCATCTTCTATCTCATCAAGCTAGCATCTTCTGTCTCATCAAGCTAGCATCTTCCATCTCATCAAGCTAGCATCTTCTGTCTCATCAAGCTAGCATCTTCCATCTCATCAAGCTAGCATCTTCCATCTCATCAAGCTAGCATCTTCTATCTCATCAAGCTAGCATCATCTATCTCATCTAGCTAGCATCTTCTATCTCATCAAGCTAGCATCTTCTATCTCATCAAGCTAGCATCTTCTATCTCATCAAGCTAGCATCTTCTATCTCATCTAGCTAGCATCTTCTATCTCATCAAGCTAGTATCTTCTGTCTCATCAAGCTAGCATCTTCTATCTCATCAAGCTAGCATCTTCTGTCTCATCAAGCTAGCATCTTCTATCTCATCAAACTAGCATCTTCTATCTCATCAAGCTAGCATCTTCTGTCTCATCAAGCTAGCATCTTCCATCTCATCAAGCTAGCATCTTCTGTCTCATCAAGCTAGCATCTTCCATCTCATCAAGCTAGCATCTTCCATCTCATCAAGCTAGCATCTTCTATCTCATCAAGCTAGCATCTTCTATCTCATCTAGCTAGCATCTTCTATCTCATCAAGCTAGCATCTTCTATCTCATCTAGCTAGCATCTTCTATCTCATCTAGCTAGCATCTTCTATCTCATCTAGCTAGCATCTTCTATCTCATCAAGCTAGCATCTTCTATCTCATCTAGCTAGCATCTTCTATCTCATCTAGCTAGCATCTTCTATCTCATCAAGCTAGCATCTTCTATCTCATCTAGCTAGCATCTTCTATCTCATCTAGCTAGCATCTTCTATCTCATCTAGCTAGCATCTTCTATCTCATCTAGCTAGCATCTTTTATCTCATCTAGCTAGCATCTTCTATCTCATCAAGCTAGCATCTTCTATCTCATCAAGCTAGCATCTTCTATCTCATCAAGCTAGCATCTTCTATCTCATCAAGCTAGCATCTTCTATCTCATCTAGCTAGCATCTTCTATCTCATCAAACTAGCATCTTCTATCTCATCAAGCTAGCATCTTCTATCTCATCAAGCTAGCATCTTCTATCTCATCTAGCTAGCATCTTCTATCTCATCAAGCTAGCATCTTCTATCTCATCAAGCTAGCATCTTCTATCTCATCAAGCTAGCATCTTCTATCTCATCAAGCTAGCATCTTCTATCTCATCAAGCTAGCATCTTCTATCCCATCAAGCTAGCATCTTCTATCTCATCTAGCTAGCATCTTCTATCTCATCTAGCTAGCATCTTCTATCTCATCTAGCTAGCATCTTCTATCTCATCAAACTAGCATCTTCTATCTCATCAAGCTAGCATCTTCTATCTCATCAAGCTAGCATCTTCTATCTGATCAAGCTAGCATCTTCTATCTCATCAAGCTAGTATCTTCTATCTCATCAAGCTAGCATCTTCTATCTCATCAAGCTAGCATCTTCTATCTGATCAAGCTAGCATCTTCTATCTCATCAAACTAGCATCTTCTATCTCATCAAGCTAGCATCTTCTATCTCATCAAGCTAGCATCTTCTATCTGATCAAGCTAGCATCTTCTATCTCATCAAGCTAGCATCTTCTATCTCATCAAGCTAGCATCTTCTATCTCATCAAGCTAGCATCTTCTATCTCATCAAGCTAGCATCTTCTATCTCATCAAGCTAGCATCTTCTATCTCATCAAGCTAGTATCTTCTATCTCATCTAGCTAGCATCTTCTATCTCATCTAGCTAGCATCTTCTATCTCATCAAGCTAGCATCTTCTATCTCATCAAGCTAGCATCTTCTATCTCATCAAGCTAGCATCTTCTATCTCATCAAGCTAGCATCTTCTATCTCATCAAGCTAGCATCTTCTATCTCATCTAGCTAGCATCTTCTATCTCATCTAGCTAGCATCTTCTATCTCATCAAGCTAGCATCTTCTATCTCATCAAGCTAGCATCTTCTATCTCATCAAGCTAGCATCTTCTATCTCATCAAGCTAGCATCTTCTATCTCATCAAGCTAGCATCTTCTATCTCATCAAGCTAGCATCTTCTATCTCATCAAGCTAGCATCTTCTATCTCATCAAGCTAGCATCTTCTATCTCATCAAGCTAGCATCTTCTATCTCATCAAGCTAGCATCTTTTATCTCATCAAGCTAGCATCTTCTATCTCATCAAGCTAGCATCTTCTATCTCATCAAGCTAGCATCTTTTATCTCATCAAGCTAGCATCTTCTATCTGATCAAGCTAGCATCTTCTATCTGATCAAGCTAGCATCTTCTATCTCATCAAACTAGCATCTTCTATCTCATCAAGCTAGCATCTTCTATCTCATCAAGCTAGCATCTTCTATCTGATCAAGCTAGCATCTTCTATCTCATCAAGCTAGCATCTTCTATCTCATCAAGCTAGCATCCTCTATCTCATCAAGCTAGCATCTTCTATCTCATCAAGCTAGCATCTTCTATCTCATCAAGCTAGCATCTTCTATCTCATCAAGCTAGTATCTTCTATCTCATCTAGCTAGCATCTTCTATCTCATCTAGCTAGCATCTTCTATCTCATCAAGCTAGCATCTTCTATCTCATCAAGCTAGCATCTTCTATCTCATCAAGCTAGCATCTTCTATCTCATCAAGCTAGCATCTTCTATCTCATCAAGCTAGCATCTTCTATCTCATCTAGCTAGCATCTTCTATCTCATCTAGCTAGCATCTTCTATCTCATCAAGCTAGCATCTTCTATCTCATCAAGCTAGCATCTTCTATCTCATCAAGCTAGCATCTTCTATCTCATCAAGCTAGCATCTTCTATCTCATCAAGCTAGCATCTTCTATCTCATCAAGCTAGCATCTTCTATCTCATCAAGCTAGCATCTTCTATCTCATCAAGCTAGCATCTTCTATCTCATCTAGCTAGCATCTTCTATCTCATCAAGCTAGCATCTTCTATCTCATCAAGCTAGCATCTTCTATCTCATCAAGCTAGCATCTTTTATCTCATCAAGCTAGCATCTTCTATCTCATCAAGCTAGTATCTTCTATTCAACATGTCATGAATGAACTGTCATTCTTATATATATCTAAGACACTCTTCAAGTGTCCATATTTTTTATATATATGGCAACCCTTGCCCAGTGCTGCCAAGGGGTATTTAATTTGTAGAAAGGCATGGGTCTTCAGAAGTCTTCAAGTACCGAGCGCCATGTAAGGTACAGAAGTACTCTTGCGAGGGTCATCAACTGATTAATGATCGCAGTGTAGAGTCCGGAAGGCTCAATCAAGTGACTGCGGATCCCTGCAATTATATCGGAGCCATGATCGTGTGAAGCAGTGAAACCTTATGTCTACACACGCCTACAGACACATCAGTCTCTCCCCTCACGGATGGTCAGTTTGCAGCCTAGTAGTTGCAACTATCTTGTTTAATCCAGGTAGGATCCTAGCTAGGCCGTGGCATTTAATTCAGATTAACGGGGTCTCATAACCGTTGTGTCAACTGGTGGACGAGCAACAAAGGCGAGTCTTCACCAAATAAGTGTACTACTACTAACACCACCACTACTACTACTACTACTACTACTCCCCTCAAGGAAGGTTCCTTGATGTTGGTGAGGGGCTCTTGATTTAGGGAATTGGATCTGTGCTCCAGTTCCCCGAATTAAGCCTGAATGCCTTCCACATCCCCCCCCCCAGGCGCTGTATAATCCTCCGGGTTTAGCGCTTCCCCCTTGATTATACTACTACTACTACTACTACTACTACTGCTGCTACTACTACTACTACTAACACCACTACTACTAC